GCGGTTTCTTTTAATGTAACAAATAATAGTTTGAATTATTAATAATAACAATAATAATTATTAACTATCGAATTAAAAGAAATTGTTAACAAAACGATATACATACTAAACACCCCAAATCAAACTCTCACCTTACAAAAAGCAGCTGCATCCGTACGAGGCAAATTCCGATTGGCCTGATTGAAACTTCCAGAAAAACGGCCTTTATTGTAACCTCCGGCTCCAGGGCCTATGTTGATGCTTCCCAAGGAGATAAAAATGACACTTTTACCTTTGATCATGTTAAGATGTTCTTTTTCAAAGCCAGCTTTAATTCGAGCTTCTCCACGAGAGACCTTGGTTTTGTGAACACATTCTGCGATTAGCGTCTGTCATGGCTATCGATGATTAATAGGTGATGGTACTAGAACAGTAAACTTTTAGTTTCAAGTGATGGTAGAATGTAATGTATATTTGTAGGAATACCCTTTCTACTACAATATAATAAAAACACTGGATGATCAAAAAAAGAAAAAAAAGGTGATGGTACTAGCATTTGTAAAATGTATATGTAGAGAATAATAGTTATCAGTGTTACTAAAAAATTATAATATTTCAATAACTAATGTACTATAGAAAAAAGCTACAATAACCTTCTTAAATTCTTTATCTCAAATTAATTATTTTAGTTATTTTTCATGTTGGTATTTATTAAAACAATATAGTTTTATACTTCTAGACTCCTAATTTTTTTAGAAGTAGGATTGATAAATGGAATTGAAAGATTAAGGACCAAAATAAGACAAACTAAATATTAAGAACTAAACTGTTCACACAACTATAGTTTAGAGACCGAAAGGGCAATTTGGGTAACATGTGTTATTTAGGTATAGCAGTTTCAAATTAATTAGTAGTTTTTAGTAGTTTCTTTTAATTAATATAACGAATAATAATTTGAATTCTTAATAATAACAATAATAATTATCAAATATCAAATTAAAAGAAATTGTTAATAAAACGATATATATACTAAACATCCCAAATCAAACTCTCACCTCCCAAAAAGCAGCTGCATCCGTATGATGCGAATTCCCCTCGGCCTCATTGAAACTTCCAGAAAAATGACCTTTATTGCAACCTCCAGCTCCAGGGCCTATGTTGATCCTTGCCAAGGAGATCAAAGTGACATTTTTACCTTTCATCTTATGATCAATGTTAAGATGTTTTATTTCAGAGCCCGCTTTGCGAACCGTTGGGACATATTCTGCGATTGGCATCTGCATGGCTATTGATGATTAATAGGTGATGGTACTAGAACAGTAAACTTTTAGCTTGAAGTGACAGTATATTATAATGTATATGGACAAGAGAACCTCCTGTGCTTCAACATAACAAAAAAGAATTGGATGATCAAAAAAAAAAAAAAAGTGATGGTACTAGCATTTGTAATATGTATATATAGAGAATATTAGTCATCATTGTTATTAAAAAATTATATTATTTTAATAAATAACGTACTATAGAAAAATATTGCAATAGTCTTTTTAATTTGTGGTGGTGTAATTTTTTTTATTTTATTAATTTCTTAATCTTGTAATGTGTTATCAAAATCTCAAGTAGTTTGCTACAACAAGAGAAATGGATGTTAGGCGTCTATTGCACATATAGGGTAGAGATGTTTTTATATATTGCAATAGACTAAAGGAAGGTTCCCTGTATGTTTCTCAATGTGTATGCCCCCTGCTCAGTATAAGAAAAAAGGGTGGTGTGGGAAGAATTGAAGAATGTTATGATATCCTAAAGTGGCTGAATTTAAGCAGCAGACTTTAACGCTATTTTGAGGTCAAATGAAATGGTTGGCCTGTTAGAGAGTTCTGGATTATGTTGGATTTTAATGAGTTTATTTATGAAATTGGGTTAATAGATTTTTAGCTGGTTGGAAGACGGTTTACCTAGTATAAAATGGATGGGAAAGCGATGAGTAGTATTGACAAATTCATTCTAAATTCAAAATTTCTAGAGGAACAGGGAGACTGCTGCAAAGTGGGATTTAAGAAAACAATATAGAATCATTGCCCGGTGTTGTTCAAAACGAAAGATTTGGACTTGGGTTCAAGGTCCTTTTGTACCATGGATGGGTGGCTGAACCATCCTGAACTCAAGTAAATATTTAAGGGACAGTGGGAGTCAGCTTCGGCGGACGGTTGGGGAGGATTCAGGTGCAAAGAAAAGTTAAAGAAAATGAAAGGCTTTCTCAAGGTATTGAACTAGGAAGTTTATGCAAACATAGATCAACAAATAGAGGTAGCAATGAAAATAGGCTGGATGGATTTGAAAGGAGAAGAGCTTAAGCTGCATGATGTTGACATTTTAGTCAGAAGGAGCGGGTGAAAAGCTATGGAATAGGTTGAAAAGGAAGGAGAAAATTTGGAAGTAGAAATCTCGAGCTACCAGGAAGCACCCAGAGGATGCAAACAAGTGCCTTTCTTTTTCATAGATTTGCAAGAGAGTACCACATGTTTCGACACCACATCATAACCAAAAAACTAAAAATTAATATAGTAGTTACATAGGTTTTCACATATTTAAACTATTCTTTCCTTACATATTTAAACTATTCTTTCCTTTCACATTTTTTGAACGTGGGATTTTAATTCTTCACGCTCACAATTTTGACATACATGGTCCAAGAGTATACAAATAATGAGCACATCATCCATGAGTATACTCATACACTCACTTTTTGCTAAGCTTGGCCCAAAACCAAAATTACCACTAGCATATGGCCTCTGAGAGACATTGAATATCTCTTCATATATTTTGACATCACATTGTAACCAAATAATGAGTCTAGTTGTTATATGAGTCTTCACATATTTAGGTCATTCTTTCCTTTCATATTTCTTCAATGTGGGATTCTACTGCTTCAACAGGTATAGCATTTATGGTCTACGTGGATGACTTGTAGATTGCAAATGGAGAAATCTTGAGCCATTTTAAGAAGCAATTTGCAGAATCTAGATAGTGTAGGCCAAAGCTAGAAGACGTGGAAATGATCAAAATTTCAAACAAAGACAGTAAGGTTGGAAGCAGAGTTATACGCGCAGGAAGTTCAATAGGCTGTGAAAGAATGCAGTAGTGAATCTCCAAGGCCATACGGGTTCAACTTCAAATTCATCAAGTTCGCATAAGATGTTTTGGAAGGGCATGTAATGAGATTCATTAATGAATTCCACGGTAATGGTAGGCTGATGAAAAGTTTAAACTTGAGTTTTATTGTTTTAATTTCAAAAGTTGAAAATCTAGTGGAAATTAAAGACGATGGGGCTATAGCCACATTAGTAGCTTGTAAAAAATTGTTGCTACGGTATTAGCTAACAGACTGAAAACAGTTATGGAAGAGCTAATCATTGTTAATCACTCTACTTTTGTGGGGGAAAGGCAACTTATAGATGGCATAATAGTCCCCAATGAAGTTGTTGATGAAACAAGAAGAAGAAAATTGGAAATTTGTTGATGACTTTGAGAAAACGTGTGATTGTGTTTCTTGGGAGTTTTTGAATGATATGATGGAGAAATCTAGGTTCAGGATAAAGTTATAGGTGGCATATTAGTACTCGACATCTATGTAAATCTTGGTAAATAGTAGCCCAACGGAAGAATTTCATCTAGAGCGAGGCTTGGGAGGAGGAGACCCACTTGCACCGTTTTTACTTTTGCTGGTAGTTCAAGGGCTTTATTATATGACTACAAAGGCAGTTTTGAATGGGTGCTTGGAGGGCATTAGTGCTGGCTCTGGGGATTTGAAAGTTTCCCATTTACAATTCAGTGACAACACAATGACATTGGGAAATGCTAAAAGGGGGAATATAAAGGCTGTAAAAGGCATACTGAGGTGGTTTGAGTTAATTTCTGGATTGAAAATAATACTTTAAGAAGAGTAGTCTTATTGGAATGAAAATGGATGTTTCCTGTTTAAGGAGTATTGTTGATTTTTTAATATCCAAAAAAAAAAAAGATGTGGATGCTGATTATAGAGATTTCAAAAGAAGCTTTCTGGATGGCAAGCGAGATCCCTGTCCTTTAATGGTTAGTTAATTATGCTGAGGTCGGTTCTCTCTTTTCTCCCTTCGTATTTTATGGCTGTATTTAAAATGCCTAGAAGTGTTTTGCATGCTATTGAAAAATATACATTAGGTCAATTGGGAGAGACGATGCTTAGATATAAAAATGATGGATTAGGAGTTCCTAATCTTAAACTAAGAAACCTAGCCCTATTGAGAAAATGGTGGGCGAGATTTGAGGAAGAGGCAGGGAATCTTTGGAAGAGGGTTGGTGATGAAAAATGATTGCAAAGGAGATGGGGGGGATGGGACAGAAAACATATTATTTCAAAGGTATGTGGGAGGACATTTTGTCTGTGGGTAGGGAGGGACGTGTCTGGTGAAATAATAGGGGAAAGTTTGAAATGGGAGGTGGGTGAAGGAGAAAATTAGATTTTGGGATGATGTGTGGGTAGGGAAATCAGAGAGACTGTCAAGAGATCCTTAAGAAAAGGTAGGTGAAGTGGGAGGTTGGAAAAATGGAGTATGGGTATGGAAGTTCCATTGGAGAGAGGTCTTATAAGGGGGGAACGTGAAGAGGAGAAAGCATGAACAGATTTTTATTGGAGATAAGTCTAACACAAGGAAAACCAGAGGGTTTGAAATTTGACGAAGAAGGGATATACTAGGCCAAGAAAGCTTCTTCACTCATGATACCAATGCAACAAATCACTGAAGTTGATATGTGTAAAGCTATATATATGGAATAAATATCCACCAGGGAGGATTTGTTTTTTGCTTGGAGGATGTTCTTGGATATGCTACCAACAAAGCAGAATTTGAATAGCAGAGGGATAAAATGGGAGGAGCCAACTTGAACTGTTGCTTTGCCATGGTTTAGTAAAGAAGCATTAGTCAATTTTGCTCCATAGCATGGAATGGAAGTTTAATTAGGTTGATTTTGACATTCACGTTCATAGTCACTGCATGGCACATGTGAGGGCCACGGAATAGGAAGATATTTAAGGATGAGGAATGCTCTCGGGATAAATTGGTAGAAGCTATCAAGATCAAGTCTTTTCTTTGGATTAAAGATAAATCAAACGGATGGGTTTTCTCTATTGATGATTAGAGCATGGATCCTTACTCCTGTGCCAGAAGGTAAACTATAAATGTTGAGATTGGAGGAAAGTTATCATCTAGAATTAAAAGGGTTTGGAGTACTCTTGTACTCTAATTAATAAAAATTCTATTCTTATTGATAAAAAATAAATAAATATCTTAAAAAATTATATACTCCAAGCAGTTGTTTAAGGTAACCTCCTCAATAAGTTTTTTTAGAAACTTATTGTGTACTTATTTGAGATTTTATGAGTATTCATTTAAGATTTTAAAGTCTGATTATATATTTATTTAAGATTTATTAAAAATTTTAACCATTTTATAATATAGTAATTTTATGAAATCACATATGGTTCCTTTTTTTTTTTTGATCAGCAACAGATGTAGTTCCTAGTTGAAGTGGAATATATAATTGAAGTATAATTGAAGTTTAATTATTATATGATTATTGAAATATAACTGAATTGTATTATGATTGAATTTGCTGGAATATATATAATTGAATTTGGATTGAAAGTTTTTTTTTTCTTTGAAGAAGTTGCATATAATTAGAGTTAATTGGGCCTCAAACTCTTCAATAAATTTTCTTTGAAAAGTTTATTAAATATTTATTTTAAATTTTA